GTTATGAACTATGTAGGAATGCCACGCTCGTACAAATGCTGTCTGTCTTTTGGAAATCTGGTTTCATGCTTGTCCATACCATTGTGTTTCAGCATCAGCATTGTGCTAGTAATAAAACATTGATATTTGACCATGTTAGAACATCGATACTATCAATAGCCGATGCTCAAACAAATGTTTTATAAACAACGGATGCGAAAACATCCAGCAACAACTCTTTTTTTTGTTTTTGTTTTTTTTGGTACAAGTAGTTTGATTAGAGATTATGGATTGAATAAATTAAATTATCTAAATGTGACTGGACATTATCATTTTTACTTAAGAATATGATGTGCATTCTATGTTGAGAAAGATGTCATGTTTGTAGTAAGTTTAATTGTGAGATTACACTAGTTGTTTATGGTTTTAATGACAGTCAAAGGGGTATGTAGCCATTGGAATCAGAGAGCAAACATGATCTTTAGTTGCGAAAACAATTGCGAGGGTTAACCCAGAAAGATTGTAGGAATTGTTTTTTCAGTTGGTAATCTATTACGACTACTTGTGCGCAGGCACTGTAATTGGAAGCCTGCTGATCATGTATATCTGACGTGTAACAGATTCTCCACATCAATGTCAAGTGTTTTTTTTAGATTTAGCTCTGATTCATGAAAAAATGGAGGGTTTTTTTAGAGCATTAAAAATAAAATTGAAAAATAACACGGTTTAAAAAGTATTTTAAAAAATAATATATTAATAAAAAAACACATAAAGTCACAACTAAAACTTAAACTATAACTTTACCAATATTATTAAAAAAATATCTTAATATGACGAATCCAATAATATTAATAAAAGTCATTAACAATGATTAGAGTGGATTATATAAGCCGTTCAAAGATGATGAATAACTCTTTTACTTTTGAGTAATTTATGTGGTCTATTCCAATCATTATTAATAGATTTTTTTAGATATTGTTGAATTTGTTTTTTTTAAATCCTTTTTACAGTATTGATGATGATGATATTATCATTAGAGTTTTAATGTACTTTCAAAATCTTTTTTCTCTCTCATTTCTCATCTCTTATTATTGTAATTCATGAAGAGAAAGAAAGACAAAGAAAGAGAGATCTTGGAAGCACAACGAAACTTCAATGACAACACTATTAATATAATCAGAAAGATCTTAACAAAAAAAATTCAATACATTATAGAAAATCACCCATGATAATCATAGTAGATCATACAAGTCATCCAAAAACAACATGAGTGGTTTACTTGTCTTTGAAAAACTTGTGAGGCCTACACTAGTTATTGTTCATGATATTTTTTTAGTTTTATTGGATTTATATCATTAAGATCCTTCTTATCAATGATATTGTTATTGAAGTTTCAGTGTGATTTTGAAATTTTCTTTATTTTTTTTAATTGTAATTTGTATTATAGTAATATATGCACCATTTGTGACTCGTAAAATTATGCTATTTATTTAAATAATTTTTGAAATATAATATTTTATTAATTTTTTTATAGTGTTAATGGCGAAAAAAATAAAATAATTAATGAACTCTTTTTTAAGCCATCGTATTTGACTTCTGAGCTCTTATCAATCAACATGCTGTAAAATTGTACATGGGTTGGGTTTAGAGCCATATTTTTTTTAAATACGACAAAAAGCAAGCAAATGCAAAAATTCATGCATCAAGTATTAGCCTTGTAAGGAAATTATTCCCAGGTAGGCAAACAGGAAGAAGGAAATAAGAAAAAAAAAAAAAGGTTAGCACGTCTTTTTTCTTTCCAAATAATGACAAAAGGTCTCTCAAACCACCACCATGAATAATAAATTTTTAAAAATATTTTCTTTTGTCATGTTTTGAATTGCCATTTGCTAGTGATCTTGTTATTAGGATACATATTGTATTGCCAATTAAAAAAAATAATTAATTAGGTAATTGGATTGTAAATAAATTTTAAAAATTAAGAATTAGAATATAATTAATACAAGATATTACGGTTCTAGATCTAAAAACAATAAAGTAAGAACTTGATTGAATAAATTTATAAAATTAACTTAAAATAATACATGTGATATTATTTAAGGGGTAGACTAATATTTTTCTATTTATAGGATTTTTAGATTTTCTTATAAATAAAAAGTTATACCTTTTATTTTCTAAGGGTGAATAAAGTATAATGCGTAAACACATGAAATACAAAAAAAAAAAAAGAGAAAAAGTTAACACTTAGAGCTAATACAAAAAAAAGTTATGCCTTTTATTTTCTAAGAGTAAATAGAGTATAATATGTAAACAATCTTTCTCTCGTAAAAGGATTTAGAATATTTTTCATCATTGAAACCTTCTATTTTGAATTCTTGTCTAGCTCAAATTTTAAATTAAACTAAATAAGAGTTGATTTAATGTGATTTTGTCAACTTGACAAGTCTAAAAATAACTTGAAAAATTGTTAAAAACTTGGTTTGAATTAAAAAATATATCAAGATGACATCTATTTTTTTATATTAAAATAATGATATATTGATTCAATTCGGGTTAACTTGTCAAACTTGAGATCTGAGTTACGAACCCAATTAGGTTCAATAAGTTAATTTTAAAAAAAAATCAACTTTTTATTTAATTATATAGTAATAAGAATTTGTGATCGTAGTAAAGCAACTAAACAAAATTAAAAAAAAAATGATTATGATGAGTTACACAAAAATAGGAAATAAATATTAAATGGATGTGCATTAAATAATATATTTTTAGAAAAATATTAACTAATCCAAGAATTTAAAAGAAATTAAATGGGTGAATAAAGTATAATGCGTAAACACATGAAATACAAAAAAAAAAAAAGAGAAAAAGTTAACACTTAGAGCTAATACAAAAGAAAGTTATGCCTTTTATTTTCTAAGAGTAAATAGAGTATAACATGTAAACAATCTTTCTCTCGCAAAAGGATTTAGAATATTTTCCATCATTGAAACCTTCTATTTTGAATTCTTGTCTAGCTCAAATTTTAAATTAAACTAAATAAGAGTTGATTTAATGTGATTTTGTCAACTTGACAAGTCTAAAAATAACTTGAAAAATTGTTAAAAACTTGGTTTGAATTAAAAAATATATCAAGATGACATCTATTTTTTTATATTAAAATAATGATATATTGATTCAATTCGGGTTAACTTGTCAAACTTGAGATCTGAGTTACGAACCCAATTAGGTTCAATAAGTTAATTTTAAAAAAAAATCAACTTTTTATTTAATTATATAATAATAAGAATTTGTGATCATAGTAAGCAACTAAACAAAATTAAAAAAAAATGATTATGATGAGTTACACAAAAATAGGAAATAAATATTAAATGGATGTGCATTAAATAATATATTTTTAGAAAAATATTAACTAATCCAAGAATTTAAAAAATATTATATTTTCAATTATCTTTTTTTAAAGAATTTATTTTAAAAGACTACTCACATAAATCTGAGTAGCCTAGTACATTAAAATCTTTAAAAATACATCCAAGCATGTTGTCGGCCTGTTATTAGATTAAGTTAATTTAAAAGAAAATATTTTGAAACAAACCATCAAACTAAATTATTAATTAATATAATATTAAATAATAAAATTAAAAAAAACTTGATAGTTAAACTAAATAAATAAAGGATCAAAAAAGATTTTTTAAAAATAAATGCTTTCCAATTCACCTCATTTTCAATTTTAGTCCCCTCATTTTAAATTATTCATAAACAATCAAACCAAATTCTTCTATACAAAATCAAGAATATACTCAATGCTATGATTTGTTTTTGGAGACAAGGAAAACTAAAAATAAAAAAATGACATGAAACAAATTATCAAGGTCAATTATTAATTAATGTAATGTGATAAGATAAAATTAAAAACAAATTTCAATAACCAAAATAGAAAAAAAATAAAGGATGAGAAAAAAACATTAGTTTTTATATAATTGTTTCGTTGCACCTAAGAGGAATAGGAAGGATGCATTTATCGATGAATTAAACAAATTTCAATATATATATATATATATATATATAAAATGTTATTCCAAATGTGATATTATTGAGAAATGAATTAAACCACTTTATGTCTGATTATCAAGGTCAATTATTAATTAATGTAAACCACTTTATGTCTACATAATTGTTTCGTTGCACCTAAGAGGAATAGGAAGGATGCATTTATATTAACATTAATTTTTATATATATACGAAAAATTAAATATATCTCATTCGCATTCTGGGCTGACTCCCAAAAACAAAAAGAAGGAAGAGGTTAATCACAGGAAATCTCATATCATTAAAAAACTAATAAGGCTAATAATTGTAAATAGATGGAGCGCATAAAATACCACAACAATTTTAAAACAAGGAGCCTAGCCCAATACAACTAGAAAGCCCAACCGAAGTAGAACCGAAAGTTACAAAAAACTGAGAGACGAAAACCATAGGCCACCTGCCGCAGTCCTCCAAACCATCACGCGCCGCCGTTAAGGAGGCTATGGAAGCGGTCTAATCGTCTAGCATCTTCCGAAGGCGGTCTTTAATATAATCGCTACGAGCCTTGGTTCGGGCTTGTTGAGGGGCAATGTTGGCGAGGGACATGTAGGCTCCATAGACTGAAAGTGAAGCACCGGTGAGAAACAACCCAACAGTAGCAGCTAGTTGCTTCCGAGTTGGTGGGTATGCCCAGATCATTATCTATCTGGGTTTGATTTATTGTGTTTGTTTGTTAATTTCACAGAATCGGCTTGGTGTGGCCGCCTCCTCTTTCTTGGTGGTGAATCGGAGATGATTCCTGATTGCACTGCAACGGGAATTTATTCGAGTTTGATGGGCGTAGCCCATGAGGCGAGTTGGGCCATCATAGATAAAGCTATCAACAAGCTAATGATGGACTCTCCTCGACCCTGTTCTTGCTTCACGATGGTTTGCAAATTAATCAAATTTATTATTATTTTTTTAAAATAACTTAAAAGGCACAATTTTTATATATCCACCAGATAAATTCTTAAGAATATGTTTCTTTCATATACTGAAAAGAAGAAGCTAAAGTATCTTATAAATGGGCCGAAACCCATCCAATTATCTGGCCCACTGAGTTCATCTCTCTCTCACCACTCAATCTGTCTCCTCTGTTTCTCATACACCAAACCATGCAAAGAAACCCCCCTCTCTCTTACAAGCCCATTCATGCCTTTAAACCCTTCCTCCTCTAACCCTTCAATAGCACTTCTCATTAAATCCTGCAAAACAATCCCTCACCTTCATCAATTCCACGCCCACATAATCCACAAAGGTCTTGAACAGGACCACTTTATAATCTCCCACTTTCTCTCCATCTCTACTTCAGTTTCCTACTCCACTTCTATCTTCAATCGCCTCCTTAACCCCTCCACTTTCCTCTACAACATCCTCCTCAAAATCTTCTCTAAAAATTCCCAATTCAATGACACGTTTTCGCTCTTTTATCGAATGAAACAAAGCGAGAATGCATTGCCTGATAAATACACTTATCCGCTGCTAATTAAGGTTTGTTCTAATGAATTGAGACTGAAAGAAGGTGAAATTGTTCATGGATCCGCAATGCGCTGTGGAGTGAGTGATGATGTTTATGTTGGGTCTAGTTTGATTAGTTTTTATGGTAAATGCAAGGTGATACTGAGTGCACGTAAGGTGTTTGATGAAATGCCTGACAGAAATGTGGTTTCTTGGACAGCAATTGTTGCTGGATATGCAAGTGTTGGGTATTTGGAAGACGCTAAGAGGATGTTTGAGAGAATGCCGGAGAGGAATTTACCGTCGTGGAATGCAATGATCAGTGGGCTCGGGAAAGCAGGGGATTTAAGTGGAGCGAGGAAGGTGTTTGATGAAATGGTCGATAGAAATGTTGTTTCGTTTACAGTTATGATTGATGGATATGCGAAAGTAGGGGATATGGCGTCTGCAAGGGCATTGTTTGATGAAGCTCCAGAAAAAGATGTTGTTGCATGGTCCGCATTGATTTCTGGGTATTCTCGGAATGAACAGCCTAATGAGGCCGTCAAGATATTTTTTGAAATGGTGTCTATGAATGTGAAGCCCGATGAATTTATAATGGTGAGCTTGATGTCTGCTTGTTCTCAACTGGGTAATCCAGACTTAGCTAAATGGGTTGATAGCTATTTGAGCCAGACATCAATTGATACTCGTCAGGCTCATGTTCTTGCTGCCCTTATTGACATGCATGCGAAGTGTGGGAACATGGAAAAAGCGGTAAAATTGTTTGAAGATATGTCTACTCGTGACCTAATTCCATGTTGTTCTTTGATACAAGGATTATCTATTCATGGACGAGGAGTTGAGGCTGTTGAGTTGTTTAACAGGATGTTAGATGAGGGGTTAATTCCAGATACAGTGGCATTTACCATAATTTTGACAGCTTGTAGCCGTGGAGGGCTTATTGAGGATGGCTGGCACTTTTTTGATACCATGAAAAACAAGTACTCTGTAGTTCCCTCTCCTGATCATTATGCCTGCATGGTTGATCTACTTAGCCGAGCAGGACAGCTAAAGGCAGCTTACGATCTTCTGAAGTCCATGCCTTTGAAGCCTCATGCTTGTGCTTGGGGCGCACTGCTTGGGGCTTGTAAATTGCATGGTGATGTTGAGTTGAGAGAGGAGGTTGCTAATCGGCTGTTAGAACTTGAACCTGAAAAGGCTGGTAGTTATGTGCTCTTATCTAACATCTATGCCTCAGCAAATCAATGGTTAGATGTTTCTATTGTTAGGGATGAAATGAAGGAGAAAGGGGTTAGAAAAATACCTGGTCGCAGTTATATATTTACAGAGGCCTGAAATCATTGGCATCATTCTCAACGAGGGTTAGAAAAATACCTGGTCGCAGTTATATATTTACAGAGGCCTGAAATCATTGGCATCATTCTCAACGATCCCATATTTCAGTGTAGAATTAGTTGGAGTATAAAAGAAGTATTTTAGATTGACTTTCTGGAAGGGGGATGGTTTGAGGAACCTATATGTGGATTCCAATCCATTGCTCCATTAATTTTAGAGCTTTAGACCTTCCGTCCCCGTCCCTGGTTGCGGCATTAGGCAATTGAACATGGAATATTGCATTTTGATTGCAAACATTCAAACATTAAGCTAGCGTGTGGAGATGATGAATATTTCATGGGCCTTCAGATATTTGATGAATCCCTTTTCAGTTGATATTCTTGGCATGTTTGCTCTTTGATATCATGTCTTAGAATGTAAGAAGCTTGAGTCCTGTACATATTTAAGACTTACCCATTTAATTGACTGTTCTAACTGGTGAAGGAGCAAATGATTTGCTGCCTGAGTTTACTCAAGGAAATATTTGCTGCCTGAGTTTACTCATAGAAATATTACTGCAGTTTTAACCTAATCACCACTTCTATGTGCTGTTGTACCCTGTTTTCGGTGGGAGAAGTTTACTTGATCTTGAATTTGATGTCAAGGTGCATATTATCATCAGAAATTGTCTATACCAATTGCTCATTCCTTCACAGCTTTGAATTAAGCTTGTTCAAGGCTTTCATAATAAGTTTTTGATTTGAGAATGTTGATCTGTTCAGTAATAAACTGTTATTAGAGACAACATTGAACAAAAAACCGTAAAATCAAGAGAAGTTATCTCAAGCTTCATGTATTCACTAGGAAGCGGGGAAGGTAGATTAATCATCTGCACGCATGTTTTGCTGCCGTGGTTTATATTGTTCTTCTAGTATCAAATCGACAGAACAGGTGAATTAGATGTTTTATTATTAATAATAAATTAATTCAATTATAATATAATTAAATTACATAAAGTAACAAGTTAAAACATAAAAATTACAAATTTAGTTTTTAACATGATTAAGTAAACTTGCATTTATATTTTAAGTGCTCTACTGTACTTAAATATTATATAATTCAAGCTCAAAGCACAATGTTACTTGGTGAATTTACAAGAAATTTTTTTTCACTACTTTAGAAAAAAATTCTTGTACAAGATTTTATTTGGTATTTGGGTGATGTTCATTAATAACTAAGAGTCTTTCATTTAAATTTTTACAGGTTTATAATTGATGATTTCCGTTTACAACAAGATATTCTATCAATAAAATAAATAATACAATTAAAAGTTTTAGCCTCTTTATATTTCATAAGATAATATTTATAAAATTTAAAAAGTGTTCTAAATGTAATGAGAATAAAAAATAAATAAATTATTATGCAAGATTATAAAGTCTTGATTGCATAAATGTGAATATAATCAAGGACTAGTGTTTTTGTAATGTTTTTGTATTTAGAAAAACTTGCATACGATATATTTTCAAAATGTTTCTTTAATTATGTAATTAAACAAGTTTTATATATATGTTTCCAGTAAACACTAGCTGTTTATAGATATTAATGTTCATTTAATAAATAAAATAGTTGATCAATTTAGATTGTTCAAGGTAATTGATGAATTAGTTTCTATAAAATTTCTAGATATTTATTTTTAATGAATAAGTGATCGATCAGTTCATTTAGAATTTTGGATTTTAATAAATTAAATCTAATAAATTTTTTAAATTAATTAATTAATTATATATGCATGGAGAATAAAGTGTGCAAATTAATTTTAATTTTGCTATCATTATAAAATATAAAGATTTATATACTGCACTAATGCACTAACATGAATACTTAATTCTAAGTTCACTTGCTTTGTTTTTGGATTTATTTTTGTTTTGCTTGTAAATATATTTTTTGACAATATTAATATATATTTTTATTAATTATTATCATTAAAATATATAAAAATATAAATATGTGATACAAATTTCAACATCTAAGAAGGTTTTATCTGCGTTCAAGGTTTTCAGTGTATGAACAATTTTTTTTTCACTTTGGTTCTTTAGGTGCATGTAAATAGCTTTACAGGTTACTTCATCGTTGTCTCCGCACTAAACACTAAGCACCATTGATACACAGGATTCAGGAGCTTGGAGGAGTGAACTTGATTTTCTCAAAACAGTATTAGAGTTAAGTTCATGTGTAGGTTTAATGGAAGGAGTTGATTTGATTTTCCATCACCGTTTCAACCTGCATCGACCTGGAAATTTCAGCAGCTTAATTGCTGTCGAGCAACAGAAAGATGATGCTTGAAAAAGATATCAGTGAAGCAACCATGTTCGTTGTCCATTGATTGAATGAAGATGATGCCTTACATTTGATAAATTATAACTGCTACCATCTTTTCGTTTTTAGTTTTTAAGAAGAGTTCGTAGAGAAGAGGAATTTTCAGAGAGAATGAGAAATGTTCTTATATTTTCAATGTAACTTTTGCTGAGCAGGAAAACCTGCTTTTATACATATTGCATGCAGTTAATAGCTGAATCCTATAATTTAGGAATCAAATCATCTCCAACCATCCAATGATTGAGGGCTACCATTCTCACACCTATGCAATAAATGATTATAAGAGAAAAATAACAGAAAAAACTAATAGTAACTGCTGCAACTTCGTGTAATAGAAAACTCCTTCCATTTCTTCATTCTTCTCATTATAGCCTACATGATTTACTTCCGAGGCTTGAATCCAAGTAATCAACTTATCTTTTAATGGCCTCTCCTAAGCTGCTTATTGGTTAACTCCAAGTTTCAATCTGAATTGCTTGAATTATTTAGGCAATGTTTTAGTAAAATTATCTGTGAGTTGTTCTTCATTTCTGCAGAATTGCATATTGATCACTTTTTTTTTTTTTTTTTATAGAGCTTCCCTTATAAAATGATACTTTCTATTTATGTGTTTGATTTTTTGATGGAAAACTGGATTCTTGACCATTGAAATTGCTGACATACTATTACAGAATAAAGATGTTGTTTCAGTTTGCATTTCACCGAAATCATCAAAAATAAATTTTAACCAAATGACCTGTGTTGCTTCAGATGTTGAGATATACTCAGCTTCTGCTGTTGATAATACCACTACGTTCTATTTCACAGAGTCCTAAGAGAATTCTACACTTCCAAAACTAAATGTATAGTTAGAGCTGCTTTTGCTATCATCTTCATTTCCTACCCAATCTATATCATAGAATCCAGTAAGAGTTGCTGACTGATTTCTCACATATTCAATGCCATAATTGAGTGTCCCTTGCACATATTTTATAACCCTTCTTGCAGCTCTTCTATGCATTTTTGTAAGACTATTCATAAATTGTGATAGCAAGCTAGCAGCACACATTAGATCAGGTCTTGTTATTGTTAAACATAGTAAACTTCCTACTATTTTTCTATAGAGTCCTTCATCAGTTAACTCACTCTTATCCACCTTTTTTAGTTTCTCACCAGTAGATAAAGGAATTGAAACTGGTTTGCAGTCCTCAAGCCCAAACTTCCTAAGCAAAGATTAGGCATACTTGCTTTGATGAATGAATACTTCTTAATTAGTTTGCAATATCTCCATGCCTGATAAATGATGAAGCAATCCTAGATTAGACATCTCATATCTCTGCATCATTTCTCTTTTAAACCTCTCATTGCTATCAGTATAGACAATGTCATCAACATAGATTGAGACAATAATTAAGTTCCCTTTATGATCATACCTTATATACAAAGTAGTTTTACTTATGCTTCTCTTGAATTTGCATATGGAGAGATATGCATCAGCCTCACTGTACCAAGCCCTTAGCGTCTGTTTAAGTCTATCTAATGCTTTTCTTAATTTGTAGATCTTATGCCCTAGATCCTTTACTTCAAATCCCTTAAGCTGCTTAACATACACATATTCTTTAAGCACACCATTTAGGAATGCTGATTTAACATCCAACTGAAATAACTTCCATTTCTTTTGTGCTGTAAGTCCAATAAGAGTTCGAATTGTATCTAACCTTGCTACTAGCGAAAAAGTCTCATTGTAATCAATTCCAGATTTTTTGTGCATATTCTTTTACTACAAGTCATGCCTTGTGTTTCTGAATTGTTCCATCCAAATGAAGTTTGGTTTTGAACACCCATCTCACTTCTATAATAGGTTTGTCAATCGGTTTCTCTACCAATTCCCAAGTATTGTTCTTCTCTATTATTTCCAGTTCTTCCTTCATAGCTTCTTGCCAAGCTATATCTCCGGCTGTTTTTTTGTTAATTCTCAGGTTCTATGATGCATATATGATACCTTGCACATATGTCTTCCAAGGTCTTTAACTTTATTGGAGTAGAACTAGATGTGGAGTGTTGACTATTATTACTACCAATATTCTCAACTAACTCGTTAACTGTTGAGTTTAGATGAGAAATTTCAGTATTATTAGGTTGGGTTACATCATATTATTCTTCAGAGTTTTCACCTTCAACTTCATCTTTTTTAAGGTTGAGAGGCATTGACACTGATTTCATCTGATTTCTTTTCCAACTCCATGACTTATCCTTATTGAAGATCACACTTTTTGAGAGAATAATCTTTTTAGATTTCAGATCATACACTCTATACCCCTTTTCACAACTTTCATATCCCACAAAACTCCCTTTCCAGCCTTGCTATCAAATTTTTACCTCAGGGATTATGAAATATGAGTGTAATATATACAATCAAACACCTTTAGATGCTTAATTTTGGCTTCCTTCATGTAAATGCTTTAGATGGAGTTTTTCTTATCACAAATGTTGTAAAACATCTTTTATGAAGATATACGGATGTGCTCACAACTTCTGCCTAAAAAATCACGGGCATTTCTTTCTCAGTTAATATGGACCTCGCCATCTCATAAATTGTTTTGTTTCTTCTCTCTGTAAATCCATTCTATTGAGAAAAGTATGCAACAATTAGCTGCCTTTCCATTCCCAAGTTTGCACAGAAGTCTTGAAATTCATTTGAGGTGTATTCACCATCTCTATCACTTCTTAGCTCTTTCAATTTGTATCCACTTTGCAGTTCAACAAAAGCTTTGAATTTCTTGAACACATTAAGTATATTACATTTATTTATGAGAAAATATACCCAGCATATTCTTAAGAAGTCATCAATGAATGTGATGAAGTATCTGTTTTCCCTAATTGATTCATTCTGCATTGATCCACACAGGTTTGTGTGTATTAGCTTCAGTGGATAGCTTGCTCTCTATGCTTGTTCTTTATCAAACTTTTCCCTATGATGTTTTTCTGAAACATAGCCTGCACACAAGTCTTTCAATTCTGTCAACATAAGTAATCTACAT